AAAGTACTATTAAAATTTTTGTGTACGCATTAATCATTTTGACTAGTGACCCCAAAAAACAATTGGTTTCGCAGTGACGTGATTCTGTTACTACTGTAATGGATTCAGGCAAAATAGTAGGTTAGTCCACGATAGACCTTATGGCTAATGCTTACCAGCCACGTGGAAATGATAGTCATCAGGACGTTTACTGTTCCCATACCGATAGTAGCGTACACTGCACCAACATCACTAAGACCAGCTTGTTTAAATATATAGGTTGAATAAAACATTGCAGCATTGATGCCTATAATCGCAACCATCAATAGTAGATAAAGAGGCATGATATCTGATCGCATACCGGAGAGCTGTTGGGTGAGCATCAGCATAGTTGCAATAGTCATAGGCCACCGTAGAGATCCACGGAACATATCCGCAAACGTAAGACGCCCTCCTGCTTTTGCGCCTGTCGCTTCGTCTTTCAATGCGTCCATCTCAGCACCAACCTAAATTTTGTAACTCAAAGAAGCGTTGTATGTTCAGTGCGATCCACACTTTGGACCTACATCTGATGTTCCTCTGAGCTTTTCTAAATCTGCAGTGGCCTTATCGACATCCCCTTTTACAGCCAGAGACCATTTAGGCGATTCTGGAATCATTGGCAAGGTAATCACCTGTAGCAAGGCAACAATGGCTGTCAATGCAAGAATGATAGGCCAGCGATCGTCTGTGCCGAGAATCTGTGGCAGTCCAACTATCTACAAAGAGAGGCGACTATTACAGCGAAAATTTAGGAAGTCTTATTTTCTCACCTGCGAAAATAATATGGAAATTGTGATAAGCAGCTGATGCAGTGAACCGATCATACCGCGAAGATTTGTGGGCGAGACTTCTGTTAGGTAGATGGGTACTAGTACAGAGAGACCTTCAAGGAACATCTTCGAATAAGAATGGCAAGCTTTTAGAGTAATCATAAATAAGATAACGGTGACGCTCGGTTGACATTAACAATATGAGTCATTCGTTTCGTTTTTGTGCGTATCTATGCGTATAATATCTCACAGCAAGTTATTCAAGATCTGAGTAAGGAATGTGAAGTGCATGGTCTGTTCGGCACTTTGTTACTATTCTCAGAATATTTGGAAGAACACCGAAAAGATGGAACATCATAAGTAGGTTAAGCTAACTAAGCTTACATAACAAGATTTCGCCTGTAAACATTCTACATTTTTCATTGGTCCGTCATTGGTAGTTCTTTTAGATCGTCTGAATTTTTTAATGCGGAAAGGTCTGTTTTGGGTTTTGTTGCTGAATTCTTTGATTTGTCCCCCCGCCTTATTTTTGGATTTCTTTATAGTCGCTTTCTACGAAATTAACATTATGTTATGCAATCTTCTTCCCTTCCTCATATGCTCGTAATTACAATAGTTTGGGATTTTCTTTATCACAGAACTGATTGTTTCGGGATTCATAACATAATAATTACAAAAGTAGTTCAGAATAGCTAGTTTTTTGTTTAGGCTTCTTCGCTTTTAGAAGACATATCACCTTCGAGAGCGTGCAGTTTCAATTTCACAATAGTACCACAATTATGTTTAACACAATCCCCTCACAATGCTTTTGGGGCAATGCCTACTACTGAAAAATTTGACTAATGAATCGAAGAAACGATAGGTTCCATTACTATTTCCCGCTTTTTTTCGGGGCCTTATTATCCAATAACAGTTACTTTTGAGAAGGGCATAGTTGGGCTCTAGAGCACTGTTTCAGCAATGTTAAACTTATTCCATTAAATGCATTCCCTCCATTACTGCCGAGAAGTCCAGGGTTCCCGTGCCGATTGTTTAATGCGTGCATTCTATTATCCCGACTAGCATATGTGATACTACCACATCGTAGTATCACATGTGCATGCGGGATACTGGAATGTTACGTTTACACTGTCTCACGTCGCCACATAAAGCTTTTTAGTAGCCTAAAGTTAATTGCAACTCTTTCCAAATTTCTTTCAGAACTAAGCCTCGTCTTGTATACTCCCTTTTCCAGGATTTTCTATAAGTCATAACACAGTCATTAGAGCAGTGTGCTGTTGATGTTCGTCACTATTGTTACGAAACGAATTTGCAAAGAAATATTGTGCTGACGTTACCTGCGTAAATTCCGATCAAAAATCGGCCAACGATAATCAAAGGATAAAAGCCGACCATTTTAGCACAACCCATGCATGCAGAGGCAAGGAAAGCAAAAATGTTGGTGAATAGCAGACCACCACGCCTGCCAGCCTTGTCTGCTACGAATCCGCTAGAGATACCACCAACGGCTCCACCTACGGCGAAGACTGACACAGCTGTGCTCCTACAATGTTCAATATACAGTACTAGCAAAGTAATTATGAATGCACTCAGAGAAGTGGTGTACTGCTTTTTTCTCAAGAAATTTCTTAGCATTCAACTCGAAAGTAATAAATATACTGCCATGAGCTGCAGCGGTTTACATTTCATTTTGATAAACGCAGAAAACATAAAAACTCAGGTAGTGCGCTACGAATGCTGAAAAGATGTGCATCTTTTGCCCTTACATTCACTGCTTTCTTTGGCTTTGTATCTTTTCTCTTTGTAAGATACAGCTTCATACTTCGAAAAATGCCAAAAATAAATAAAATAAAATGAATGAATAAAAAAGCAGTCTCTTTTGGTTTCAAAAGGGAACTTTTGTTTTAAGCATGGAGATGGTCTATTTTTAGTTTCTGATTAAAACTTTCGATAACTTTCGCCAACCTACTGCCAATTTGAATAACTAATCTTCTAGTCTCTTGAATCTATTGGCGATGTAGGTAAGGTCAGTCTTCGAAACAGTTGCCAAGTAATTTAAGCAATACCATGCTTCACCGCCGCCAATGCACGTATGTGGGACACTTTCATATCCACTGCTCGGCTCCTGTTGGCTGAAAAGAAATGGGAACAATGTCTTCAGATAGCTGAGTGTGTTTCCGACGCCAGCTCCTGGCAATGCTGGGCATCTTTTATCATTAGGAAGAAACACTTGCACCGCCCTAGGGGGAGCAAGGAAAGATTGCCTGTGCTTTTATCTTGCCCTCAGACTAATGAGACATATAGGCGATTTTGAAGTTGTGTGGAAATATCAAGGCCGATAACAGAGGTAACCTCATATCTTCAATCAGTCTGCTTCGAAATTCCCATCCCAATGATGTCTGGAAGCACAGTTGCGCGGACACAGAGTTGTGTGCTTGGCGCACATTTTCGCCTTTTCGAAATCATTATTTCCACTTTAGATTGCCACTTTCAAGATCCCAAACAGTACGAGCCGAGCATCGAAAGTGAGAGTGCGCCTGATAATGTGCAAAGGCGACCATTAAATTAGATTTGTTTCAAATCTTTTGTATTGATTTCGAACAATAGTCTTTACGAAACTTCCGGAAGACGGAAGCTTATGAGCATTTACGCTAGCAAAACTTGAGCGAAAGCGATAACTCCGAAATTGAGAAGAGCTTATACAACCTTGTCCATCTTCCTACTGCGTACCTCTCAAGCGTTCTAATGAACGCAATACAGCAGTCCTTGTGCATTTTTAACATATTCATATACAACTATACACCTAGAGACTTGTAAATTTACCTGGGAGAGTGGTTTCTTATGTATTAGTAAGAGTTAATAATAAAACTCAAAAGCAAGGTTTGCTTAAACAATGCAAAGTTGGTACGACATACAGCATAATGCATAGTGATGGTCATAATTGGGATGCGCTTGGAAAGATACGCATTT